ACATTTCAATTAATCCAGATTTGAGGGAATAGATAGAGAGTGAGATTGTGTGACACACAGATATGAAGTAAGGGTTTATGTTTGAAAGAGAGGGAAAAGATAAGAGAGGCACATCTCAATAGATAGATAAAAAGATTCGACAGACAGACGGACAGACAGACAGCCAGACAGACAGAACGACAGACAGACAGACAGACAGACAGACAGACAGACAGACAGACAGACAGACAGAAAACCAGACATGATTAGACCGACCGAGCACCAGCCTGACCGACATGCTACTCGTCCATCACAAGTGAAAAAGACCACTTTTCATCCAAAGTAGTAATGATCAATGATTATATGAGTACTAAGGTGGCTGATTAGTCCAATATGTGAGTGGGGAAAGTTCTTCAGCAGTACTGACAACAGGTGGAAGCCGCAGTAAGTGTAGGATTAGTGATACATTTCTTTCTAGTCTGTCTCCGTTTCGCTGCCTGTGCAGCCTTTGCTGTCTGGCAAGCTGATGAACCATGCCTGAAGGATGTACGCCACCCAGAACGGTCTTGTGCAGCGGCCTTCCACGTCGCTTGGTTGTTGCAAAAAGGAGTTGAGAGCAGTTTTGAGAGTGTAATTGTAGCGCTTCTCTGTCCTCCCTAGGACCTCTTCCCTTTCTGGGGCTCACCATAAATTACTCTATTTGGGAGGCGATAGTCTGGCATGCGGGTTAGGTGACCAGCCGAACGCAGCTGATAATTCTTCAGCATCGCGAGGATGCGAGGCAGGTTTGCCCTATCAAGGACCACAGTATTTGAGATCCCATCTTGTCATTTGATTTTGAGCAGTTTCTGAGACAGGTTATATGAAACTGATTCAACTTCTGAGCATGGCGTTGATAAAGTCCATGTTTTACAAGCGTAGAGCAGTACTGGAAGAATGACAACTCTATAAATCTTTTGCTTGGACAGCAGAGAGATACCACTTCTATTGAATACGCAGGTATGAAGTCTACCGAAACTGCTACTGGCCTTTGAGTTTCTAGCATTGATCTCGTCGACGATGTTGACTCTCTGAGATAGGATACTGTCAAGATAAGTGAATCTGTCGACTACATTTAGCTTTTGATCATTTACGGTGATGGCGTGATCACAGTGGTTGTTTTTTATTTTTCCCTGGGAGCCGGTTGATAGATAACAACAGTTTTATTAGGGTAGATTAGCCCGAAGTTGGTACAGGCTTTAGAAAATATATTGATGATGTGGCCTCAGAACTATAGTTTAGAGCGAAATCGTCAGCAAATAAAAGGTCTGTAATTGCAGTTGTTTTATTTTTCAGCCTGTAATTAATGGATTGTCGTCATCAAAGGCATAGACAAGCACTGCAGCAAATGTCATATACTCCATAAGGCTGGCGTAAGCACATCCCTGCTTTATGCCATTTGAGGAAAGAAGGGGTCCGATAATTTTCCCTTCTCCAGCCCTATGGTCTGCACACCCTCGTGTGTATAATCCTGACACACCTCTGAGGACAGCCAAATTTAGCCATTCTTCCTCTTCTTCTTTCGTTCGCCTGAAATAAGTTGTATATATCGGCAATTTTGTCTCTTGTATAAATTTCATTGTTGTTGTAATTCATTCAGTGGTCCATAGAGTTTACGTTCCACTGTTGTTCTTTCTGGCCAAAAGGTTTGCCTTTATGTGTCAAATTCGGTGCAGTCCTGGAGTACATGCTCTGCTGTCTGGGGCACCTTTCCACAGGTGTACATGGCTGATACGCCTATCTTGAATTTTGTGTACATGTGGTAATTTAGCCATGATTTTCGACAGTCCTCCTCTACTGACTGTATCAAAGGCCTTTGTGAGGTCCTCTACTGACTGTATCAAAGGCCTTTGTGAGGTCCTCTACTGACTGTATCAAAGGCCTTTGTGAGGTCTATGAAGCTAGAACAGAGGTCGCAGCTTTAGTTCTTGACACTTTTCCTGGAGCGGACGAGCAGCAAAAATCATGTCAATGGCCACTCCCACTTTTCGGAAGCCACACTGACTCTCAGGCGGAAGGTCTTAATCAAGATGCACTGTAAGACGTTTTAGGAAGATTCAAGCGAATATTTTACCAGCAACAGACATCAGAGAGATTCCATGGTGATTGTCACATATTTGGCACTTTCCTTTACGTTTATACAAGTGTATGATTGTTGTTGCATCTTTGAAATCTTGTGGAAGTAATTCTTTCTGCCATATAAGTTGGAATATTTGGTGTAATTTGTTAGTGGGGACATTACTAGGACAGTGCCGAATATTCGTTTCGTATTCGCTTCGGGGCCGAATAGTACACTTATTGACTATTCGGTATTCGGCCGAATAGTTGCGGTCGGGCCGAATACGAGTGGTAGTTACCTTACACCCGCTTCTGCATACATTCTGCATGCTGACAACATAGAACGATTGGTTTTGTTGAAAGCTAATGCAGCTTTCAGGCATTAACTAAGCTGTCAGTGACAGTTTCTAAGTTTAGTTACTTGTAATATTACTTAGGATTCTTTCATTCCTAGTTATTAGTTATCACAGACTGACTGAAGGATGCAAAACATAAAATGTTTTTAAATGTTTACTATTCTGTACGAATACTAACTAGACATGGCAAGAATATAAACTCCGACCACATCCAAGTCGATAATAGGAAAACCAAACGAACGGAAACATAAAAGTACTTGGGTGCAAACTTCAACTGCTTAACATGCTGAGAGAAGAAATACAATCTAGAAATAAAGTATACTATGCCCTTCAACATCTACTAAAGTCAAAGTGTCTGTCTCGCAACACCAAGATCAAAACATATAAAACGTTGATGAGATGAGTCGTTTTATATGGCTCTGAAACTTGAAGCAGAAATAAAAGAGATGAGGCCTTATTGCAGGTTTTCGAAAACAGTGTGAGGACAAATCTTTGGACCCATCAAAGATGCTAACAGAGGGAAATGGAGAGTGACGAGCAACAGCGTAACACATAATCTGTTTAAATCACCATTTATCACTGGCATCATGAGAGCTAACAGACTAAAATTGCTAGGCCATATTGAAAGAATGTCAGATGACATAGTAGTAAAAAACTGTATACACCTGAAAGAGGAATGGGCGTAGACCACGAGGCAGACAAAAAGGAACTTCGAGAGATAATGTCCAGCCAGACCTGCAAACAACTGGTGTCACAAATTGTGAAAATAAGGCCAGCCAGAGAGATGAATGGAGGCGAGTGATATCTGCAGCAGTAAACCTCGAGGGCTCAGAATGCTAAAGAAGAAGATAACTGTTCTGGGCAAAATTATGTGAAGTAAAAGTTCAGCGTACATTTGACATTATGAATGTGTGTGTGTGTGTGGTTTTTTTTAATAGATATATTTTATACACTATACACTATTCGTATTCGTATTCTGCCGAATAGTTGGTACTGCTATTCGTATTCGGCCGAATAGTGAAAATCACTATTCGGTAAAGCCCTAGACATTACCACCTTCATTGAAAACTTCTGCGGGTATCAGATAAAGCAAAACCAAGAACTTTACCCCAGACAGCTGACCAATGGCTTTCTTAGTATCCAGAAGAGTTGGTGTTTGATCTAAGGCTACATTCATTGGGACTTGGGGCAAACCGTTTATAGCTTCTTCGTTTATGGATGACTGTAGGTTCAGGATGTTACTGAAGTGTTCAGCCCAACGTTTGAGGATTGCATCGTTATCAGTGAGTAGTGTATTTCCGTTTTTGCTGAGAAGAAGACAGGTTGATGGGGGCTTAGTTCAATATACAGTTTTAAAAGCATTCCATATACAGTTCTAAAAGAATCATAGAAATGTTTCAAATCAAGCCTATCTGCAGAACGCTTGAATCTCATCAGCTTTAATGCTTAGCCACAAGTCTCACATCTGGCGAGGCTTGGTTTCAACAGTTCTGCTATTATTACCGAAGGAGTGCTTTTTTGATATTGAGTTTGGATCATTTAACAAAGCTTTATAGTGGCGGTGTTTTTCCACATGCAGAAAGATATTCTGAAAGAGTGATAGCAAAATAAAAGACAGCAACATATTCGCATAGTTATATAGATAAAAGTCGGCTCTGTGGCTAAGTCGATGCCAACGCTTCGTAATGCCAGGATGCCGGGTTCGATCCCAGCTGCGGGCCATGCACCTGGCGTTGGTTTCGACTATGGTATCAAGAAAGCCGACTGTCCAGAAGCAATGGCAAACTACTGGACGTAAATGCCTAGAGAAACCACACAACAGACAGGGGCTGTTAGGGTTGGTTCTGCAAAATCGTGTAAAGGATACGCAACAACCAAAATATATAGACAAACAAAATCAAATTCTCACCTACACAATCAGTGGCGACAGACCCCAAGACCCCCCCCCCCCCCCCTCTCCTCCCCCTTTTTGCACCCCTCCCCCACCTTCACCGCATACGTGGTACAATAAGGCAGTGAATGGTAGGTTTGTTTATAAACACACGCATTCGGAAAGAGTAGGAGACCCTGAGACACACTTAGAGAAAGAAGGGAGGAGGTTGGGCGGCAGAACTGGGGTGACAGAGATAAGGAAGAGGGACAGACTATATAAAGACACTGACAAGAGCAAGTAGTCAGAGAGATCTGTGAGATCAAAGTTCACACACAGAGACAGTGAGAGACGCGTCACAGATACAGTGAAGCACAACACTTAAACATACACGTACGCACGCACACACACACACACACACACACACACATGCGCGCACTCACACACACAGAGAGAGAGAGAGAGCGAGAGAGAGAGAGAGAGAAAGAGAGAGAGAAAGAGAGAGAGAGAGGTTGGGGTTGATTTAAAAAACTCAGTAAAACAAATAAAACTTTTACTTACATATGAAAACAACCACAAATACAGAAATTAGCGACTTTGATTACAACTTGATATCACTGAGATGACAAAAGAAGAAGAAGATACACACACAAAAATACAAAGATAAATGGTACGGGGGTACACCAGACACTACTTACTCTGGGTATGTCTTGAGTTCCTTCAGCCTCGACTGTAAGATGGCACACGTTCTCAGATCAGAGGTATCCACGACTCGCCTCCGGGTCACGGCCCCCATGCGGCTCTCCTCCTCCTCCGACATCCTGTCCAGGTTGGGTACCAGGCTCAGTGGCAGGGGCGTCCCCGTGGCCAGGCTGGCCCGACGCTTCTGGTTGAAGTGTCTGCTGCCGGTCGCCCCGATCATGTTGTGGCTGTGGTTGCCCCGCCGGTGGGTGCCTGGTGAGGAAGACAACAATAAGATAACATGTTCATGTCAGCACGTGTGTATGTGTGTAAAAAAAAAGTGGGGGGGGGGGGGGGGAAACACGGACAGAACGACTTGATTACATACTGTACGGCCGTCTCTCATGCCAGGTATAAGGAGAATAAAAGCGGCCAACATTAAAAGAGAGTTGAGATCAACTTTATAGCAGGGCGGGGTATCAGTGAGAAACTAATGCTTACTGATATCTGGAGTTATTTCCGTGATGAGGAGGCGCGAAGACGAAGACGAAAACGATGACGACGACGACAATGACGACGACGACGACGAAGAAGAAGAAGAAGAAAAAAAGAAGAAGAAGAAGAAGAAGAAGAAGAAGAAGAAGAAGAAGAAGAAGAAGAAGAAGAAGAAGAAGAAGAAGAGCAGGAGAAGAAGAAAATGAGGAAAAAAAAGAAAAAAAAAGAGAACGTTGAGCAAGAGGAGACGAGAAAGAGGAAAAGAAGGACTTGCGTACAGTGCTCAAGCGATTGTTCTGCTACTGCATTCGCGTTTGAAAGGGTAGCTGGCACATTGTGTTGTGGTTTATATCTAGGTCGCGCTATCTGCGGCTTTCGGTCTAAGACATCTGATTTGAGTACATTTTTTATTAGTTGCCTTTTACAACATGCTTCTTAGGGTTCAGTGGTCTATACTTTGCCCCCACCCCCACCCCCTTCCTCATCCCTTTTATCTCCTTCCTATAATGAGGCATCAGAACTCAGTATGCGGTTAGAATGCCAGCTATAAAATCTGTATTACGTGATTACTGCATAATTTGATGGGTAGTTAAGGTAATGACGTCTCCCTTAAAGGACCTTTAGCAACGTGGACATAATGAGAACAGTTAAGTAATGATGATAATGAGAAAATTTTATTAATGGGGTGAGCATATTTGACAATAATGGGAAAAGGAGATTAATAAGACAAAGCTTATATATTTCACATGTCTTTTCTTGTTTTTCAGAGGCATTCCGAGTCCTTGAGGTTAACTGCTGCAGCTATCACCCGCCTCCACTTATCTCTCTGGCTGTCCTTCTCTTTTCAGTTGGTGACAAAAAGTGTTTGCAGGTCTGTCTAGATATTATCTCGCCATCGTGTTCTTGGTCTCCCTCGTGGTCTACGACCAATTTACTCCCTTGTGTATACGGTTTTTACCACTCCGTCATCTGACATTCTCTCAATACGTCCGCGCCATATTATTATCATTACTATTAGCTCTCATAATGCCAGTGATCAAGGGTAATTTAAACAGATCATGAATTTCGTTGTTGCTTCTCAGTCTCAATTCGCCTCTCTCTGCATCTTTAATGGGTCCAAAGACCCACAAGACTCTCGTTAGACTGTTTTCGAAAATTTGTAATACGGCTCCAACTCTTTGAATTGTGCTCCAAATTTCACAGCCATGTAAAAGAACGAGTCTTATCAAGGTTTTATATATTTTAATCTTGGTGTTGCAAGTTAAAGACTCTGACTTGTTAAAACGTATAGTACAATTTATTTCCAGACTGTATGCTTTTCAGTCTTTACATAGCATTCATACAATGATGTTTGAAGGTTTGAACAACGGATCAACATCATTGCACACGGGTAGTGACCCAACAGTGTTCCACTTTTCTTCTAACTCAAGTCTGAGTCCGAAGAATATATGGGAAAATGAACATTTGTAGTCTCAGCATTGAAGTCAATTCACCAGCCAAAGCCTCCTGTTAAACCCAAGTGCATTATTCTCTCAAGGACATAATAATCGTGTTTCTTTTATGACTTCGTTACTTGTTCCCAACGGGCCTTGAACGCATCTGCCTTGTCATGGATCAATTTACCACCCAGTGGTGCTGATTCAGCCAATCTGCCCGCCTGTTCATTCCCCACAACGCCGGCATTTCTGGAGAAAAGATCTAAAGTATGCTCACTAGGCATGACCTTCCCTGTCTTTACCTTTTCCAGCATGCTTTCAGAGTCTGTTTCAATTACGGCATGTGTATACATCCTGTTCTCTAGCCACCGGAAACCTGCAGTGACCGCCTCCACCTCCATTCTCATGTATCATATGCTAGGCTGTCATGCACTAAAGATTTTTTATTAGCTTTCGCTACGAACCCCTGGGGCACTTCTCTTTCCTTTCAAGATTTACGTGATCTTTGTCGGGCTAATACTACTAAAACATAGAATATACAGGAAGTGACACAAATTGTTTGCATTAAACCATAAACATGGCGACTGTTTTGGAAATCATTTCCAATGTGCTGCGATGCATAGTGCTTATTCGTACAGCCTATCCTGCATACGATGAAATATTGTGTTCATCTAAATCATGGAGGCTAATGCTTGAGATTGACCATCTGAAAGTGTAACGCCGATTTTCGCACAGATGACCTCTATAACGTGTGCAATTTAATGTTTTTGAAAGTTGTTGTCACTCTATTACTGTAAACATGCTAAACGAACGCCTTAAACTGCAAAAACGTAAAACAAAAAGTAGATGTTTGTTTCTCTCATAATAATTTTTGACATGGATTAATAGTTTACATGCCAAATTTTAACAATTTACATCAAACGAGAAACTGATTTTTAAAGTTGGACACAACTTTTGAAACAAACTATAAGAGGAAGATAAACAAATAAACAGTCAACATAATTAAAGACACTCACCAGAAGCTGAAACACTGTCCCACATATCACATTAACAACGAACGACAAACGAAATGCTTCAGTGCTTCAAGAACGCTCCAACCAACCAACCAGTCGCGGTGTATGTCAACGCTAGCAGTCTATAGCCAAACAGGTCCAGGTGAGCAAATAAAGCTCAGTCAAAAACCCAACCACACCGCCGAGAGGGATCAATGAGGGAGGAGGGGGGGGGGGAAATGTCAATAAAAGCTGCAAGCTGTTTAAATCAAAGCTTTCATAATTCTATTGTTTATTTGTAATCTCGATGTAAATGATATTGCTTTATCACCAGGTTTTAGTTTTTTATTTTTTTATTTTTTTATTTTTACGCCGAATGCCAAAGGGCAGGGTTTGAATCAACTGGCAGACTGCTAGCCAAATCTAGCTCTCAGAGGACTAGCAAGAAAAGTATTTCGGTCAAATTAAAATAAGCTATTTTAAAAAGCAACATTGGGCTATAAAGTCAAGGGAAAGACATGAAAAGGCAGACAGCAATACAACTGGGACGACACCATCACGGTATGAAGTAACAGCAGTTGTTCGCCACTGATACTTCAAAAAAAAAAAATTAAATTAAAATAAATTAAATAGCATGAAGAACCTATGGCACAGCACTAGTAAATTAGTTTCAGTAAAAAGTGAGAGATCATGCATTTTTCCTGTGGCAAATTACGGGTGTGAGTCTTGGACTTTCACTCAGTCATTGAGGAAAAAGATTGGAGCTTTTGAATTGAAATGTTATCGAAACGTTCTTAGAATGCTATGGATCAGGTAGAGGAAAAACATCGACATTCTGAACGAGTTGAACATCGAGGAGAATGGCTTATAAACCCGAAAGTTAAAGTATTTTGGCCACATCAAGCAGCATAGTGGCTTGGAAAAGACGGTGATGGAAGGTGCAGTTTGTGGAAGGCGAGGCAAGGGTTGACCTCCGCGAAAATGAATACAAGACATAGAGGATGCATTGGCATTTAAAACACATGGGACCGGAGAGCTGGCTAGAAAAAGGGATACTTTTAGGCGTGATGTGACGAACGCGACGTTCTGTTAAGGACTTGCTGATTAATGATGATGATGACGATACTTCAAAACTTATCAACCTGATCGGCAAACCAAAACTGCAAATCCCACACACTTCGTCCAACTTACAAGGACGGTATAACTGGGAGATCTTCAACAGCTAGGCCAGCTTGATGTAGCCTGCGATTCTGTGTGCGTAAGGAATGTCGTTGGTATAACCCCCGTCCTCACATCCAAATTACAACTATCAAAGGGTCAGCTATGTAATGTGAATCTGTTCATACCATACTGAGTAAGTGACGTTCATCCCCACCCAGGATCTCATATCGGGCAATAATCACCTAGTAACACAAAATGCCACCATTCGGACGAAAATCACCCAGGCACAAGTTCCCGTAACACCGTTTAACTGTTATATTAGGCACACCACCCCCCCCCCCCCGTTCTCCCCCTTCTACGACAGCCTGGGTTAGGCTTTAAATTAACCCCACCCCCTCCACTACCACCACCAAAAAAAAATGCATCTCATATTAGTCCGACGATGATCTAACTGTATTAACAACCTGATTGCTATAGTTTTACCCCTTCAGTTATTTCTTCTAACGAAGGAAACACAGTCACTCAAATAAATGCCGGAACATGGATGCTCAGGCCCGCTGAGCCATTACCCTTTTTTGCTTAAGTGGCTGTTAGAGCGGCTGAGCTTCTCCCACTCCGCAGACGATTTGTAACCAGGCGTAGCCCTCCTATTCATGTATAAACGCTATTGTTTTTTTAATGTTCATACATTTCATTCTATTTCGAAAATGATACATTTATATGTCATTTAAATGACACCTGATGAACTGGCGGTACAAGCTAGGGATATCTTGATAACAGCAGCTAAAGACTTAATACCCACCAGGACTAAGCAACATAAACCATGGATCACACCATACACGTTAGAACTAATAAAACAACGAAGAGAACTGAAAAAGAAAGGAGAAACCAATGATAGTAGGATGAAGTATAAATTTTTTACACGAGAAATAAGAAAGTACACAAGAAAGGATAAAAATCAGTATGTACAAGATTGCTGTATTAAAATAGAGCAGCATCACAAAAATGGAAGAGATTACGAAATGTTCAAGGAAATGAAGTTATTGACAAGAAATTTTCAACCTCAGTTAAATGTTATTTGTGACAGGTTGGGAAATACTTTAACAGAATCTAGACAAATTCTAGGAAGATGGCAGGAATACTGCAGCGGAATGTATGATATGAATGACAGTGAGGATATGAATGATAT